GTGTAAATGTGATGGTTTGTGAAGGGGAGAATCTGTGGGCAAGACCTTACAGGTGAGAGTGGTTCCCAGCTCTGGCTGCATATTGGAATTACACCTGCTACGTGCACGCTGTACTGATGAAACCTGAATATCTGGGAGTGAGGCCCAGACACCTGTGGTTTGTAATGATTCCCCAGGTGATTTCATTCTGCTGCTAAAGCTGAGCACTGCAGTGGACCAGGTGAGAAAAGATGAAGGGCTCAGAGCAGCGGGTGGGGGGAGAGGAGGACGGGGTGGAGAATTATTGCAATGTATACTAACCTGGTCCTGTGGGGTTTTGGTTTCAGATACTCCTTTTTTGTAGCGATGGGCTACCTGACGATATGCCACGTCAGCAGAATATACATCTTCCACTATGGAATCCTCACTACGGATTTTTCTGGGTGAGTATCTTAACTTGTGGGGGGAAGTCTGACCGCTGGCTTTGACCCAGCCTCTTGGGGTCTGGAAAGATCAGTGTGCACATCAGAATCATGGGTGCCTGGGTCAGTCAGTTGGCAAGACGGTGCTAATGCGTTTGAGAGTGAAGACTCCATTGCTCTGTAGGACTGTGAGCTCTGCTGCGTTGTAAGGCAGGGGTTGCGAGCAATGGCTCATGGGCAGAGTCTGCCCCACCACCTGCCTTTGTAGTCACGTTGGAACACAGCCAGGCACTTGCTCATTTGTGTGCTGTCTCTGGCTGCTTTTGCATGGTGAAGGTAGAGTTGAGTGGTTATGACAGAAACCACATGATCCCGCAGAGCCGAAAATATGTGCTATCTTGTTCTTTACAGTAAAGGTTTGCTGACCCCTAATCTAAGGTCTTAGCTCAGGGTTGGTGTTTATCTCTCCTAGTTATTGATACAGAAATTCTTCCATACTAGTTGATAAGTAACTGCTTCCTTAGCCTCTTGGGTGCCCCCTGGCTGCACGGCCACTCCCCACCAGATCCATCAGACTTGCAGCCGCTAGTAAGGCCATGTCTGGCACCAGGCCTTTACCTGGTGGGCCACCCTTCTCCTGATTGGTCACCTGGGAAATTATGGGATGGATCAGTGGAAATTGTATGCCCTTTGATGTTCGTTCAGGAACAACTTTTCAGGGCTCTTGAGGAACGGACGCGAAAGCCGAGTGATTCCGCACAGCACGTTGTGTGTTATCCACAGTATTTCCTTCGGAGTTCGGTTCTGTTCCCCAAGGGCAGTCCGAGGTCCAGGAGAACCCCAGTTCTCCCAGAAGGTTGAACTGCATTTCACTTGATGAGTGATTAGAGAGTAGGCAGTGAGATAAGGGGGTTACAACTCACAGTTCATTCCTGTGAATTTGCAAATGCGCATCTAACCCACCCCAGCGTGAAGAGGCTTAGGAAGGCGAAGGCTGTTGCTCTGGGACAGACACAAAGACGTTGCATCAACGTTTCCAGGGCTGTGGTCTGATCTCAGACTGGCTTTGCATGCATCAGTTCTTCTTACCCTCAGGCCTCTGGGTTTTACTGATTTCTTTTTGAGCTGTTCTCTTGCCACATTCCTTCCTCACTAGATTATGGAGCAGTTTTTCAATTTTTCTGAAACAAGTTCACAAACTTCTTTTTGTTTTTTAATGATACGTATTGCTAGCAAAATATGGAAATTATGGGAACAAGAACGATAACAATATAGCTGGGAAGTTGTAGCATTGAAAGTAATTTTTAAATGGTGCACAGACCTCTCCCTAGTGTTTATAAACAAACGTCAGTTTTTTGGTTTCACCCTAGAATCAGAACCATATCTTTACCCCTCCAATACTTAGAAGAGTTCCTGGTTCTTAATAGGTTTTCAGTAAATTTGTGAGTTAAAGACTCTAGTATTTGTCAGTCCTTTTTTTCAGTATTTCCAGAAGCCTCAATCAAATAGCCTCTCTAACCATTTGGTTGGGATATTGAATAAAAAACGTTGACTTTAGCCCAAAGTAGATTATTACTTGTTTCTCATCTACATAATTTTTCCTTTTTAAAGTACAAAGTGTATATTCATTCATTCCTTTCTGCACTGTGTTTGGATTCCCAGCATGCTAGGCACAGTGCCGAGGCCTGGAGACACCCAGGCAGGAGGAAGGGTATTCCAGCTGCAGGAGCACAGAGCTGAGAGACAGGTGCCTGGGGAGGTCCCAGAAAGCCACCTCCCTGACCCTTACCATCCACATCCCTGTGTCACCAGGTCCTGTCTGGTCAGCAGCCTGCCTATCAGTAGGCTCTATCCACAGCTCTGCAAGCCTGCAGCCACCACACTGGGCCACCACGTGTCTGCAGTTTCCCCAACTGGCCATCTTTCCTTCCACCCTGCCCCTTCTCTGGTCTGTGTTCTCTGTACAACCAATGAGGTTCTAGAATACCAAGCACATGATGAGCGGACCTGCCTCATCTCTTGTCATCTCCTACTCCCCCCCCCCCCCCCCCCCCCCCCCGAGTTGTGCACTACAGGTAGTAGCAGTGCCGAAAAGTGCCTGGTCTGCGCACACACGGGTCAGTCCACATCTCCCTGCCTCTGCCTTGCTCAGTCCACCAGTTAGAGGTATATTTATCATCCTTGTCTATGTGGAAACCTTTTCCTCCTTTTCCCAAATCCCAGTTCAAAGGTCACTGTTTTACAAAGCATTCCCTGATCGCTGTCCCCCTGCACTCCCCATCCCCTTCCTCCACCAGGCACTTACTGCATTTTGGACCTTGCACTGGGCTTTAATGGCTGGTGCTGCCCATTGCCTGTAAATCAGACCTATGGAGACCCTGGCGCCTGGAGTGTTTGTAGCTGCAGCCACGGGCTCTTCTGCTCTCACCATTTGATTTGCATGCTTATCTAGTGTCATCTGTGCTTATTCCAAGACGTGTTTATTCCAGTTTGTACTTATGTGTAAGCTGATTATATATGGAAGGAGGGACATGGTTTCTCTAAATCTAAGGTGGGTCCTTTGCAAAATCACCAAAGCAAGTTGAGTGTATTAAAGTAATAGCTGTTGAATTAAATGTGGGTGAACATGCTGAAAGGATGTGTGGAAGAATTATAAAAAGTAGGGGTCCTGCACTTGGATTGCTGTGGAGGCATCTTTGCTTTCTTTTACCCTCGCAGTCCATGTTAGAAGAAATGCGTCTGGAGATAGTAGGTGGGGGGTTGTGTGTGTGTGTGAGAGAGAGAGGCCGTCATTGAGCAGATCCAAGCTCCAAGAAAACACTTTGGTCCTACATCAAAAGGCCCGTTGGTGCATCATTCAGCAGGCACTGGTGGAGAGCCCTGCATGTGCCAGGCACAGTTATAGGAGACAGGAGTGAGCAAGACTGTGGAGTGAAGGTACCGTTATCGACTTCAGGTTTGTATAGGAAGTTTAAATGTGAGCATGCCATGGTGTACTGAGTTGATTAGTGTTCCCCCAAATTCATATCTCCCCAGAACCTCACAATAGGTCCCTATTTGGAAATAGGATCTTTGCAGGTGTAACCAGTTAAGATGAGGACCCACTGGAGTAGGGTGGGCCCTGAATTCATTATGACTGGTGTCTCTGTAAGAAGTCCCTAAGAGATGCAGACACACGGACATATGGAGGGAAGAAGGGCATGTGGAGATGGAGGCAGAGAAAAGAGTGAGGCATCTACAAGCTGGGAACTCCAGGGCCTGCTCTCAGCCACCAAGAGCTAGGAGGAAGCCGGAACAGATGCTCCCTCACAGCCTCCCCAGGAACCAGTGCTGCCAACACCGTGTTATTGGGCTTTGAGCTTCCGGACTCCAGACAGTGTTTCTGGTTCTAAGCCACCCAATTTGTGGTCATCTGTTCCGGCTTCTCTAGGAAACGGATGCACACTGTTTTGTGATTGCATACCTTTCCACGAGCTAGCACATCCCCTCCTCCTGATCCTGCAGCCACGAGTGCCTCCACTGTCCACATCTCTCCCTGTTCTTGTCACACTGACTCCTCCACTGAATATGTTCATAAAACCGTAAACTCTTGAATGATTGTTACATCACTTTAGTATAGTCAGAACCGTGGAAAGTTACCAAAGGAAAAATCAAGGGCATTTGTGGAGAACAGCGGTGTGTTTGTGACATGCTGCGGACTTGGGGTTTGACAGCAGGGGAGACGGAACCAGTTCCTGTCCCCTTCACTCGCAGCAGCAGAGCTGGGATGCATGTCCTCAAGGGGTGTTTGCTCGCTGGCATTTTCAGATCTCCTTGCATTGAGAAATCTCTGACATTACCCACAAAACTGGAGAATGTTTGAACTAGAAAGGACTGTTGTTAGGAAAAGGGTAAAAAAAATGTCTTCTACCTCTGAACTGCATGCAATTTAGTTCTCTATTTACTGAGTGGCCATACTATCCAGTTCTTGATGGTATGTCTTTTTTTTTTTGGAATTAAAATTTTTTTTTAAATTTATCTTTCTTGTTGAAAGTATTGCAGATGTCCCCCCTTTTAATTATAGGGCATTATTAAGCAGCATTTCCCCCCTCCCACCCTAAATGCACAGTGCCTCACTGACATAAACCCATCTTCTTGGATAATGTCCGTTAACATAAAGGGAGAGGTTCATAGCAGCCTGAAGTGGCGAGATGTTTTAAATCACAGACTTTCAGAGAGATTCTTCACTGGTCTCTTCTCATTATGAGCATGCAGGCGACCACAGGTGCTCCTTCACAGTGCAATTTAACACTGTCATTTCAGTTTAAAAATCTTAGGACTCCGTTGAGGAGTAAAGTAGTGTTCTGAAGTCGAACCTGGCTTTCTAAAGCGATCTGTTGTGGCAACTACTCTCTTTTGAGTGCACACACACACCTAAGTGCTTCTCACACTTCATCACACCTTTAGCATCAGAGCGCAGATAGGAATCGGATGGGACTGGGATTCAATTAGTGTTTGTGTCAAACAATATATGTTTTTAATTTTGAGGAACACATAAACTTGCTGTACTTTAGATGATTCTGGTGCTTGGAATTTTATCTTTCTGAACGTAAGCAGGTTTTCATGGGCTAGACTGGTGGTAACGGTGAGGATAACACACAAGGGACTCTTATTAGTGCTGCTAATCCAGTTTATGTCAATGTGTGTGGTGGCCAATGCCCCCCATGCTTTCTCTGTGAATGAGGCTATTAAAGATACCAGAGCATTTACTGATCTTCTGGGGGAAGCTCAGCAATTGCGTGTGATAAGGCTGGTACTTGATTCCTTTTTAGTTTGTTGATTGTGAACTGATTCTTCTTTGTTGCTCACAGAAAGGTTTTCTTCTGAGGAAAGCAGCAACAAGAACCCCCTTTCTCTGTAGGGCAGGCCGGAGTCAGGCAGACAACTGCTCTCCCACCACGTTGGCAGCGTGAGGTGCCCATGTGTTTTTGAAAACATTGTGAAAGGAGAACTCTTATACACTACTAGTGGGAGTATAAATT